TGACTTCTTTGTGTGCCAAAAGCTGACGGGCCTCCTTCGGCTGCCAAGAACATCGTCTGCCCAGCAGCCGTGCCTCCCTGCCTGGCCGCGCGTGCATCCTTCTCGCAGGCAGTGCAGAGTGAAGCAGAACCAGGGGGCTCAATCCAGGCCTTGATTAAAGCATGAATAGGCGATACTGAGTACAGAAATGAGAAATCTCTAGAAAAAGTCAGAACTGTACTGTAGGAAGTTGATTAGTGGAGCAAACAAAGCTCAGCACACACCAAGCCGCAGGGCCTCCTTCCTGCCAGGCTCAACAGAGGGAAAGCAAATGTGGGTGCTCTGCTGCTGGCCCCAGGCCGGGGACAGCTCGCAGGCTTTCGAGGAGGGTACAGACTCCTGTGTCATAAGCTCCTGGAGGAATGTGGGCAAAATGTAGCCTGCAACTGCTGCTGAGGTTACATATTTCTACTAATAACCCTGATAAAAAGAAAAACTTTTCCATGATGAGGACACTCATGCATTGCCCAGAGAGACCATGCAGTCTCCATCCTTGGAGATTTTTTTCAGGACCCAACTGGATAAAGTCCTGAGCAACCTGGTCTGATCTCAGAGCTGACCCTGCTTTGGTTGGAGGTCCGACAAGAGACTTCTTGAGGATCCTTCCAACCTGAGTTACCTTGTGATAAACCATGAATTCTGCAGCCCCTACCCCTGTGGTTTGGGAATTGTGTGCAGCTTGCTGCCCCGCCCCGGTTTTACTCCCTGTAGGAGCTCCCACGTGAGTTGGCCACACTTTGCTGTGCCACAGGCAGCCCAGCCCGCTTTAAGTCATTCAAACACCAAACATCTGGGAGAAACACAAGCTGGTTGTGACACACTGAAATCACCTTCTGGAGGGAGACAGGTCCATGCAAGCACAGGAGAAGCCAGAAAAAGGGACTTGCCTGCTGTGACCTCGCATGCCGAGTGGGGCAAAACCCCACAAGGCCCCCCAGCAGCCAGCTGTCTCTCCCCAAATCTGAGCGCGACTCCCCCAGGCTGCTGCAGTGGAAAGTGGGAGAGGGTCTTCATTGCAGAAAGGGGGTGTAGGTAGCTGCCATCAGCCACCACCTGCCTTGGGGAAATGGGGCTCCAAATCCAGACGTTGGCCTCCAACAAGTCCGACTCACACAAACTCCTCAGCCTCACTCCCCTCATGCCCAGCCAAAGCTGAAACCTCTGCTAGGGGAAGGGGCTCTTACTGCAGAGCTCTGAAGCAAATATTTCTATGAGCTTTTTTCCCCTCCAGCATTGCCTCAAACAGCACAGCTGAGGATTTCCTCACCGCAGCTAATATCGGGAAGAGGTGAAGGCATCTGTACAAGCCTCGTCATCTTGTTGCCCAGCTCCTGGTCCATTAGTAACTGCCTCAGCAAAGCCCATGTCTCTGCTCTAGCTGCAGCGGTGGAGGAGGGACAGTGTCATCTCTCCTCCAGGGAATCCAATTTTGGATGCCATACCAGCTGGTAAACAGCAAACGCCTCTGCTGTTCCCCTGCTGTCTTGCAGCAAAGCAAGTTGCTCACATACAGGACTAACACCGCACTCAAGTGTCTGCTAGGAGACAGCCGACTGCTTTAAAAGAGGATTTGTTAACCATCTACCCAAAAGAAGGCACTAGCACATGAGAGAAGGATTACGTAAAGGTTTTAAAAACTGACAAGACAACCCTCCCAAGTTGTGCCTGGTTCATGGGGACCTTTCCCACAAAAGGAAAAGCTGGGGAAAAGGCTTCCTCACGATACCCATTCATCGGGTCTGGAACACAGCTTCCTACAGAAACAACAGGCTATCATACAGTAACCACGCTTTTAGAGGAGTAAAACCTGGATGTGTTGCATTTCATCCCCACACCACCTCTCCCCTAACCCCATAACTGGCTCCCCCATCTCTCCCCCTCCCACCAGCCTTTCCCCTCACAATCCCACCTCCTGCGTGCCTTACAGCTTGCCTCTTAACCACAGCCTGATACCCTCTGACCTGTTACCTACACCCTGCTTCACTTCTGATAGAGTATTATCGATCACCCAAGCTGCAGGCCCCACGTGGTGACACCCCGCCCCCCACTCACCCATCCCTCCCACCCCCCCCCCCAGTGGGGATTTTGAGAGAAGGCAGCCTTTTGCTGCTGTACCAGCCACATCTGGCTATCCAAAACACTGTCACAGTGTACCTTTGCACTGGAACGTAGACAAGGAATACTAAACTGTTTCCAGGAATATAAAAAAATCACTTTCTTGCGAGAAACGGGTGAAATAGGAAGGCAGCCCATTACCCACACTCCTCCCACAGCCACCCGCCTTCTGCTTAGGCCAGTAACTACTCAGGCTGTGAGGAGCTGCCTGCAAGTTAGATCTTGCCCTGATCTAGGCTGACCTAGCAGTGTGCGTGGCGGAACCTCTGGCGTCAATGCATTATGAACGTGGGCAGGGCGACTCCTTGACCTGCAGGAAACTTTCTGCTTCAACTCAATTACCGGTATCCAATTACAAATGGTAAGACAGCATCTAGTTTTCTTTCCAAGATTCAACCCCTGTTTTTCAATCAGATGCTTCTATTTGCTCTTGCTGCTTCAGAGCTCTCTTGGTCGGGTACTCCACTGCTAGAGAGAGACGGATTTTCTTTCCCCACGTGCCTTTTAAGGATCCGTTCAGTGAACCTGGAAGACGCTTCGCTGCAGGCCAACCTAGTTCCACATTTTTGAGCTGTGCAGAACGCTGATCCACTGGGCCAAAAAAAGGTCTGTTCAAAACCTGTTCAAGGTCATCTCCCGAGTCAAAGGAGGAGATCTGGAAAACAAAACAAATGGAGTATCTGCCCCAGCCCCAACCAACCCTAACACCTAACGTTGCATGTTCACAGGTTTGGCTCTGGGATGCTGAAAGCTGTGCGTGCCCTTGGGCAGATGTGCTAGCCAAGTTTGGTTTTGACCTAAATTGGCTTCAATTTTTCCAAGTTAGTTCTAAAATCCTGGTAAATGATAAAAAACCACTTTACCGTATATCAGCCTGGTGAAGCTCAAGGTCACTGTTAAAGGTAGCAAAACCTTGTAAATGGGGAAAGAAAATACATTTGTGCAGCAATACAAGTAAAAAGCCAAGGGATGAAGTGCGTGTATACATACCAAGTAACGGCCTTCAAAGAGATAAAAAGTAGAAATCTGATAGAGAACGAAACTCTTCTATACCTAAGCACTGAGAAAAGTGGTACAAGAAGAGAGCAGGAAGAAATGGACACTCTGGAAAGTCTTAAACAACAAACCCAACAAAATCAGAAGAAAATGGTTTAGAAGAGCCTTTAAAATGAGTTTTATTGTCAGAATTTTACAAGTAGCCTTCAGTGGCATCATACAAGAAGAACTCTGTTGCAAAACTCTAATAAATAGTCTGCCCCAAGTCCCAAAATATTTTTTGAAATAAAATAAAAACCGAACTTAAAAATAAAAGAGAATAAAAGCAAGACTTCAGGATGCTCAGAGATGTTAGCAATATTTCCCATTTACAAATAATATCAGGCATTATATAAATCTCCTTCATACAAGTCATTAAAAAACCCAAGACATTCTAAACCTTTACAAAAGCACTCCAGAAATAGTTCCAAAGAGATCCATTTCCATGACAAAACATTAGAGAAGAACTCCATGGGGATTAGCATCACAAATGAAGTTTGAGGTTGAAATGTAGTGTGTACTTGTGTGGAGCAAGATTAAAGAGCATGAAAAGGGAGCGTGGAAGTTTCTGTGACAAGACTATGCCCGATGATTTTAATCTGTCTATTTGAGAATGTGGTAAAGGGGAGGGAGTGGATGCTCTTGAAATTAACCCCCAAATATACTGCACTTTACGCAAGGCAATATTTATTAAGGTAGTGACTGTATCCTCAGAAGGGGGTAGAAAAGGTTTCTCAGCGCGCTGCACAGTTCAATGCCTCTGCAGACTGTGGCGCTTAAAAGTCGTATTCTGACACCTAAAAGATTATTTTCTGGAGAGGTAACATGTGGCAAGTTAGCTGTTCCTTCAAAGAACAAGAAATTAACTCTCCTGGCATCAGGCAGTTTGGGAAATCTCATGCTGGACAGTGTCACTGGGGATTGGGGATTTCAGAGCTCCAATCCTATCCCAGTACTTTGAAAAATACACTTCTCTAATTCACCCTTACATATTCCTCTGTCTACCATAGTAAAAGATTTATAAGACCTCTCATGTAATAAATCACAAGTTGAATAAACATTTCTCAAATCTATTGTGATTTGAGAAGTCCAGAGAAATGGAATGGGAGTGCAGGTGCACAGAGATGGTTTATATGGATTTTCATGGAAACAGTTCAGGGGAAAGAAATCTTAATCTCTTTACAACTTCAGCCTAAGTCTTCGGCACACACGCAAGTAACAGATTCCCCTGGAAGGGAAGGGGACTATACTTAAGCGGTACAGAACAGTACTCAGTATCTCTCAGCCTGCCTGATACAGTATGAACTGCAGCATGCCTAGTTTTACTGTTCGTAAAGTTACTTGCAGCCATTGTTTCCATGGGAAACAAAGGCTACCGGAAATGCTAATGCAATAGATGTGTGATAATATGCCTCACCCATGGCTCATGTCTCTAGTCTCTCTCCAAATGTTATGATGCTGGTTGTACTGTACCATACACTATGGACACGCGTTCTCTGTAATGTATGGGAAGGTAGCACTAGCAACCAAGCGCAAATTGCTAAGGAGACACCTAAAACATTGCATTACATCCCCTTGTCTGTGGCATACTTCAGAAAACAATGTAAGAAGAGCAGTAAAATAAACATTTCTTTCTAGTTTTCTAGATGTCATAATATTTGCCAAAGCTGCAAGGAAAAGCAGATTACCTGAAACAGAGAGAAAGGAGTTAATGGAAACAGAGGCAGAAGGAACAGCAAGCCTGATCCAGCCTCCAAATCATTTTGTACATAACAGATAAAGAGACAATGTGCAAAAAATAGACATTCACATTTTAGCAGTTAAACTTTTATTTTACCTTTTTAAAATTATTTACTTTGTTTTTTTTCTACAAAAGGCAGACATTGATTGTTGATCTGCAATTGTTCTGAGTGCGCGCAGAGATGCAAAAAAGGGTTATGGGAGGATGAAGGACAGGGAAGTGCTCTGACTATACTTTCACATGTCATGATTAAGGTGGCTTTAAAGCTTAAGTCCCAGTAATAATATTCATAACAGATAGTTTCCTTCCCCGTACACTGTTCTCAGTTCATATCAATTGTGTTGAAAACCCATTCGGTGAATTTCTTCAGTTTCTCGGTTGCATTCTGGGATTCCTCCTGTAACCTCAAGTTGTCTTCCCGCAAATGTTGCACTTCAGCCTGAAGACTGGCCTTGTCCTCTTTTTCCTTAGGCATGAGGAAAAATAAAGATCTTAGTGGAAATTTTAGGTTATGCTGCCTACCTATATAGAGAGGCAAGAATCTCTTAAGAGAGCATGAGTCTCATTCTTTATAAGGATTTTATGTGCAGTAACACATGGTTTTGTATCTAAGGGACATTTGTGACATTTCATTCCTCACTTTTTGCTGGAATGAGGAGGATTTCTCTATATTGAATTCTAATTTAATTGGCTGGCTCCCCAAGTGGTGAAATAAAATTGGGCATGCCCTGTTCTGTATGTACAACATGTACGTACAACTGCTGATGCTTAACTAAATAAGGGCTAGGAAATACTCCTGCAAATACTTCCCCAGCCAAGAGACTTCTCATCTGACCACAGCAGATCCTTCTTGGACCAAGCAGGCAGTAACACAATACAGGAAGTTTCCACAGTAGAAATTATATGTTTAGATAATACTGACAACTTTTCAACATCAGCAGGATATATTTACATGGACTAACTTCAAGCCTTTCACAGCATCATCTGAATTAGGAGTGGAGGTACTCTGAACCACCCTCCTAATTTAAGCAGAGGAATCAGATGCCTACAGATTTAGACACTCCACCCTAGCCTTGCCTAATTAGATGTATGGCCTGAGAAAAGTAGTAAAGAAATGTCTTTTTCTCATACGAGGATGAGACTGTCACAGGCTCAGGCATGGCAAAGCAGGATTACACAGTTATTAGCATCACCTATCAGCACTAAATATATGTCTTACAGATCTTCTGTAGATGAAATGTTTACCTTCCTTAAATCCTCTTGCAACATCTTCAGCAAACCTTCCAGTTGGTCCACTTTAGAGGCGAGAGTTGGAGGAGATTCTTTACTGTTGAAAGCAGGAAACAAGAATAGGTATTGATATGATTTACTATCTTCACACAGGGTAGCTAACAGCCTTGTCTATACCAAGTGGCTTTATATAGGTATGCACTCATGTACACTAAGAATTCACAAAATTAACAAAAAGAACCTAACAAAGAATACATGGAACACATGCAGCACATTAATCAACAGAACAAATTTAACTCATGCTTAATTCTTCTGTGAAGCCTGGAGATGGCTTCCAAATAAAGACGTTCCTACCCTTTTCTCAGTTTGTAGCTGAGGAAGCCTGCATATCTGGTGTATTTACTTACCCTGTGTAAGGCTTTATCTGTGCACTAAGCTGGTCGTCAGCCTGATCGCTACTGGAAGCAGCACTCACAGGTCTGTGATTTTCATCAGCAGCAGCAAAGAATGAAGCTCGCTGAACTGAGAAGGCAAACGTACAGAGAAAAACGATGGCAGCAGTAGTGATTATTTGTCCATGCACAGCACAACAGCTATACTGCAGGATCTCAAAGCAATCTAAAAAGTCTGTCTCAAGCAAGATAAGGTGATGGTATCACACACCAATATCCACTTGACAGAAGCAAACCGGCATTGCAAGTGTTCGCACCAAGTTCTCCACTGCATTGGATTCGTCAAGCAAGTATGCATGCACAGCACTGCATGCTCACACAGGTCATGCATCACCCTCAGGCTAAGCAGCTCTCCAGGAGGGAGATGCTAGAGAGCGCAAAGCAGAGATACCCCGGCAGCGCTCGCAGAGTCCACCCAAGGCCAGTTCCAAGAGAGGCAAGAAGCCAACAACAAAAGCAAGAATCAAGATTAAAAAAAACCAACCCACTTCTTAATGAAGCATGCACAAAGACCAGTTTTCTAAGTATTATGTTCTGAAAACTTACCTTCAAAGGCTTTGGCAGCATCTACCAAGTTTGACCAGTCCAGATCAGAGGCAGAATCAGGCAATGGCATAAGACCAGGGTCTGGCATGGGCTGCCGTCTTTGCTCCTGGATATCAGTGAGGGAGCTGTCTGAGGCAGAAAACTCTCCTAGAGTAATGCAGAACAAATTATAAACTCCATAATAAACCCCCCAAAATTCCTTTCTTAATACTAATGCATCCCTATTTTTAATTTTTCTGGGATAGCACTTTTGGAACCAGAACTCAGAAGAATGTTTGATCAACTGTAGTTGACCAGACACAGTATGTTACAAGCCGGTTTTCTGAGGCAGTGCTTCTCACCAGGACATCCTGCTCCTTTCTAACCTGCCTGAATCTTTGCAGCTTAGCACTTCAGAAGACAATCTCTGCCTCCCCCCAGCATTGGGGCTGGGGGCAATATTCTTGTACCCAACAATTCCTGCCTCTGCACAAGCTGAAGATACTTGGGAGGGCTCTGCAGCTTGCTGGAGCTTCTACACTCCCTGGCACCTATTTGCTCCTGTAAAAATACAAAATCGTGGGTTTTTTTTCCTCCTCTCTTTACAATCTTGTAAACCGATGGGATCAGACTTAGGCCTACAAAGATGAATCCGAACAAGAAAACACTTAAAATGACTTCCAAAGCATTGCACGTCTCCGCAATTTAGTGAAACCTCTTGATCTTTACTGAAAAGTACCCCCCCACACCCCCCGCCAAAAGTTGGTACATGGCCTGCTATGCAAAAAACACTTGAAGCTTGAAAGAAGGATAAAAAGTTCCTGTAATTTTTGTGCAAACTGGTGCCTAGCAAAGTGAAACACTTGAATTATCGCCAC